AACTGTAATCAGTATCTCAGAGATATTAGCACTCACATGTTCACTCCAGCACTATTGACAATAGCCAAGATATGAGAAAGCAACTTAAATGTCTACTCACAGGTAAATGGATAAAGAAAATTTGGTATATATACATACAACGGAATCTTTTTTAGTCTTGAAAAGAGGAAATTCTGCAATATGTGATAATATGGATGAACTTGGAAGACATTATGCTGAGTGAAATAAGCCAGTCACAGAAGGACTAACACTACATGATTCTACTTTATGGCGTACCTAAAACAGTCAAAGTCACAGACTCAAGAGTGGAATGATGCTTGTCAGAGGCTGGAATTGGAGTGAGATGGGAAGTTGCTAACCAACAGGCATAAGGTTGCAGTTAAGCAAGAGAAATACGTTCTAAAGATCTGCTGCAGAACATTGTATTGTAGTCAACAAGACCGTATTGTACACCTAAAAGCCTGTTGAGATGTCTCGTGTCAAGTCTGGTACTGCTATGTACCAGGCACTCTGCAATGTTCTAAGCATAAGTGTGGAACAAAGCAGACATGATCCTTCCCTCATGTAAGTGTAGGAAAGTAGTCCAAAAAAAAAAAAAAAAAAAAAAAAAGACCCGGAGCAATTATTTACACTAGTATCATCATAATTAAAAGTATAATAGATGCAGAACATATTTCGGGATTCTCTGAAACTATACACCATGAGACTATGACTTAGTCCAGGGTGTCAGAGGAAGTTTGAACAGTGAAATAAATTTAAACCTGAGACCTAAGGTGACTAGGAATTGATCTTCTGTTGAAAGGGGGTGGAGTGATGAATATAACCATAAAATGGTTTTTAGTTGTGGGAGTACCTATTTATCTTTAGGTCCTAGTATAGTATCTGATACACAGAAAGATTTTCTAAAAATTGTTTAACACTAATTCAACAAACGTATTCAGTGCCTCCTACATTCTCAGCATTGCACCATTAAAGGATACAAAAATAGTCATAGACACTGCACTTTCAACCAAGGAAAGAGCAAGATGTTCCAACTATAATGGATACTAATCAAATGGTGTGAACAAAATGTTGAGAGGAGGACAGGAATGAAGGGAATTTAATTCTCGCAGATATGATCTGAGCTATTTTTGTGGAATTGATGGCCATTTGTGTCATTTATTTGTGTCATTTATCAGCCACAGTTGGGCTTCCTTAAAACCTAAAGGAGATCAAGTGGGATTCATTCCTGGGCTGCAGGGCTGGTTCAACATTCGCAAATCAATCAACGTGATACATCACATTAATAAAAGATAAGAACCATATGAACCTGTCAATCGATGCAGAAAAAGCATTTGACAACATTCAGCATCGTTTCTTAATAAAAACCCTCGAGAAAGTCGGGATAGAAGGAACATACTTAAACATCATAAAAGCCATTTATGAAAA